GGGGGATGGCCACGCTGCAATCCTTTCTCCTCTTCGGATTTTGGGCATGCATGCACATGCACCCTGCATGACTTTTAAGCCGCTGGGTCTGGGACTCAAACTGCACTCGACTACGTGGGAGTCCAGTAGTCCAATGATGTAACTACTATGTATCTGCTGGTCCTACCGTCATGACTTATTTTTTTCTTTTTGCGTAGAAAACCAGAAAAGTAACAACTTTTCTGACAACCAATAGCATGTTTCTTTATAAATCAACGCTTGAAAACAACACATTCTCATAGTTGCAAGGACAACTATGATAACATTTTGGCTATCTTTTTGAGAAAGTTTGCCTTCAGTTTCATCTTCAAAGAGTGACCATGGTGTTCCCACAGACATGTTCAACATCCACACATCTTACATCTTGCCTGAATTTGCAAATGGGTTCTTGCTGAGAATTGCAGCGATTCTCCCTATCTTAGGTGTCAGGAAGTGTGCCTCTAATAGATTCAATACAAACATTTCCCCAATTTAACAGAAGGCCATAAACATCCAGAACTAATCTGGAATCACTATTATCTCCAGTGGCTTCCTACTGCCTCTGTGTCTGCACGACCAGATCTGCCGTCTCCGACGCCTGCCTCTGCCTCCCTCACTGCACCGTTCTAGTATTGCGTAACTTGCCTTTGGAGAAGCTGTCCACACTTCTCAAAGGTGATCTTCCGGACCCACCGCCCATGGGCTGGCAGTTATGTGAACTGGATCCCACATGGCCAACCATGAGGTTCAAGTCCAGACCCAGTGATGTGAGAATTGCCGCAGGTGTGTAGGAGTGCCCCAAACCCAAGAGAAGTGGGAAAAGGAGAAGGTGTTGCAGTGTGGCTGTACCCATGGGGTTGCTTTCTCACTTTCCCTGGTTTTCTGTCTCTGTCTCTCTCTCTCTCTGATTTTCCCTCTCCTCCTGTCACATTCTTGTTCAGATGCAACTATTTTGTATTAAATATTTATCCTCCACACTCCCAGAAAGTTCATTTTTCTCCCCTCTTGTTTCCTGACACTGCGATTTCTATGCTAATGACATGCTATCTCACACCCCTGAGAGTCAATGTCCTGTAGTAGCTAAAGGTGAGGAACTGAAAGACAATTTAAATCTTAACTCTGTTACTTACTTGCATTGTGGCCTTTTTTTTTTTTGCTACAGGGTGCGTGCACTCGCCAGAAAGATAGAGACAGAGGGACAGAAAGCGAGAAATCCCCCCCCAGGGGGTATGACCACACCGCAATCCTTTCTCCTCCATTCTCCTCTTGGGATCTTGGGCACACATGCACACGTGCCCAGTGTTAGTTTAAGCAACCAGGTCCAGGACTTGAACCGCGTGGTCGGCTACATGGGAGTCCAGCGACATAGTCATTACACTAACTGCTGGTCCATTGTGGCCTTAGGCCAGTCACCTTAACCTCTGTGAGTTTGGGTTCCTCACCTGTAAATAGCAATAGTACCCATAGTACTAGCTTGTTGTGAAGATAAATGTTTATGGCATGGTGGAAGTCACATAATGAGGACTGATGTCCTGTCACTGCTAGTAAATGGATAAAGGAAGGGCACAAAGATGGCAGATAAGCATTTTTTTTTTTTTGAGAGGTTTTTGCCATAGGGTACGTGTGCTTGCCAGAAAGACAGAGACAGACAGAGAGACAGAAAGTGAGAAATCACCCTCCAGGGGGGATGGCCACGCCACAATCCCTTCTCCTCTGTTCTCCTCTTGGGATCTTGGGTACGCACACATGTGAGCCCAGTGTGAGTTTAAGCCACTGGGTCCGGGACTCGAACCACAGTCAACTACATGGGAGTCCAGGGATATAGCCATTACACCAACTGCTGGTCCTACAGATAAGCATATTATGCTCTTGTAATTCAAAAATTAATAGTGGGATTGAGATCTAAAATGTAGAGCCATTTTGAAATCACATGGTGATTTCTTTTGAGGAAGCATAGCAGGAAATGTCAAATAGGTGGCAAACAAATAATGAGCTCACACACTCCCTCAAGGATGCAGACAAGTATAGTTCATCTCTAGTTGTGATGCATGGCATAGGAAAAGAAATCAAATATTGCACAAAACTAAGAATGAATGACAACTGGGTGATATGACATAATTTTTCTGCAAAGAGATTCTGTCTGGTAGCGGGAAGACTTCCAGTGCTACTTGTTACAAAATAGAAATACTAGGTTGTTGCAAAAGTCATGACGTATTTTTGTATGTTTTGCTATGCAAAAATGCATCATGACTTTTCTGACAACCCAATCATTTTGTAGTGGGGAACGGTTTAATGGCAGATTAGATGAGCAAACTTTAAATTAAAAGCCTACTTTATTTAGAATCTCTTTCCATTATTTCTCATCTGAAATGTGAAATAGAAAAACACAGTGTTATGGAATTCATTTCCTTTCAGGAGAGAAAATAAAAAGCAAATGACAACTATTGCCAGATGAACACCTTGTGTAAAATAAAATGACAAATTTAATGTACTACAGTATGCCATTTGAAGGGCCTCTTTGGCTGAAAAAAACATTAAAATTTTGTTTTCTTAAATGAATGTAACCATTCCCATGTGCATCTGTCTCAGACCAGAAAACTCTCTGGGTGTTTTTCCTGACCCACTTGAAGAGAAAATTTAGTTACTATTGCTTGTTTTTAAGCAAATCAAAAGCCAACTGAGGGCAACCAAAGAATAGAATGATCATTTACACGGCCTGCATTATGTGTGTCTAAAGAGTGAAGAGAGAAAGAAATTCTTTGCATTCACAAAAGAGAAATTTAGAAAACGCCTGAGAGTCTGTTTTTGTGCTCCTTTGTTTAACTGCATTGGGTTTTACAGATTCTTGGATCAGCTCTTCATCTTGCAGGAAAGCGAGGTAGCAATTTTTCTTAAGGAATCGGCAGTGATGGGCTCAAGTGCTCAGCCCTTCCCTTCTGGCGGAGAAAGATAGGAGGGGTGCGGGAGGGGAGGAGCCAGGAGTGACTAGGAGGAGGGGGGCTACTCAGATCCTGCCTTCGGCTTTTTACAGGCAGCAGACAGAAGTGCAGTGGCAGCAACTTTGGGTGTGCAAAGAAAATGGGTCCAACTCTGGCACATGCAGCACCTACAGGTTGCCAAGGCACGGCATAGCCTCCGTCAGATTTTCAATGTCTTGCCTCAGAAAGTAAGCAAATTCCTACATGTTTCACCAGGATGGTGAGTTATGAAAACTCCAGGTACAGAAATGTGCTCTTTGGCTTACTTTCTTTTAGTCAGTTTTCCAATGAGAAAACCCCGAGGTTTAACAGTCAAAACCACAAGCAGCTGCAGTGGCGGTCCATTCCAGGGTAGGTAGGCATGCTATCTGGTCAAATTTAGGTTCTTTGTTAATGAATAAAATGTGTAAAATAGGACCCTTTCTTGTTTTTTCATATTTGAGAATTCCAGCAAAGTCTCCGTGATAGAACTAAATAAATGTATGCTTTATTTCAATTCTTTATCTCTTCTCTATTCTGAGCTATAAGCAATTGCTGGAATTTAGTTTGTCTTAAAAACTGGGAAATTTCAGATTTAAACTTCTTAAACTTACCATGAGCTCAATGAAGAAATCCCCCCCCCTCCTTTTTTAATTTTTTTTAATTAATTTTTTTTTTTTTTTTACTGTTTCCAAAATCCAAACCCTAGCATAAGACCCCTGGTCCTATACAATTTATCCAAAGCTTGGGGCAGCCCCAGAGCCCTTTCATCCTTGACTAGTGAATTCAGAGCTATTGTAAGAGAGGGACATTCTTTCCTTTCCTTTTCACTTAAAGACACATACCAAACCTGAATGGACTCCAGGCTAGCGTCGGGGAGGGAGTGATTTTTATTAGTTATAACATAGCTAATGACAAATGTTTGAAGACACTATTAAAAAAAAAAAGAAAAAGCTTTCACTTTATGCCTTACAGGGTAAGTTGGTTACAATTTAATTTCTAAAAGGAAAAATTTATAGAGTAAAATGGCTTAACATTTCTTTCTTCATCACACATATGAGAAATATAAACTGCAAGAACATCTGGAAAGGAACATCATTCAGCAATCAGAAAGCCAAAATCCAAACCATTGATGTTTTGATGGAGACAAACATAACGAGGATCACAAAGAGGAAAGCTGTAACCTATTGAAGTTAAAATTCCATATGCATTTTACCTTTTGGGCAGTTCCAAAGCAAAGTTGTATTTCAGAAGCCCTTTGTAACATGAAACCCACTGTAGATAAGATACAACGTGAAGATAGTCTGTTTTGCAGCAGTGGGAAATCAAATTGGTTCCAGAAACAAAGTTATTTGACAAATGGCTTAAGAGTATTGCTGGAATTGGAAAGCTTGGTTGAATTATTTTTCATAGTCATTAAAAAAAAGATTTTGAAATAATTTTGCCATGCCATGTAGATTGGAGTGAGGAGGTGGGAACTGTTCCTATAGTTGAGAGGCATCTCATTTTATTGGCCTTTTAACTAAAGTGCTGTATTTTGTTATAAAAATGTAATAGCTCAGTAGTGATTTACTGTTGACTTTTGTTTGCAACAAAAAATTTCAGACAAACAGAATATTTGACTTAATATACTTAACACATGTAGTGGAGGGTTAAACAGTTTAACAAATATAAATCTATTTTTGTCAATTCCAAGTTATTTTTAGTTTTAATTTCAGTCAGTACCAGTCAGCCTTGCTGTGTTTGAAAGCATCTGGGAAAGTTCATTAAGTCAGGCGGGTCCTAGATTTTAAAAGGAGAGACTTCTACACAGCAAGATGCATCACTGACAAAATAACCCAGCACTGACTGCCCGTAGGTAAAATGAAATCATTCTCCAGACTGAAGTCAGCAACAGTTAAATATCATTTAGACCACAGCACACGACTACAGAGATTTAGGAGAAATCGTACTCAAATAGGATGTGACTAGACGTTTAGGACTATTTTCTAAAAGTCAAAGAACTTCTTCCTTTTCAGTACTTACAGTCTTTGAAGACTAGAGCTGGGTCTCTGTGAGGCAGGACTTGGGCAATGATGCGTCTCAGAGATTCCAAGGTTCTGTCCATCTTGGGTCTGCCTCTGTGAGCCTCCTGCACGGAGTGTCCTCATGCCTGAATTCTTGCAGTCCTGGACTGAATTTGTGCAGCTCATTGATGCACTGGATTACCAAAGAATCCCTTTTAACATCTGCCAATCAGACATTTCCCAGAATCTAAAGACCCCTCGGGGGCCCTCCTCCCAGGCTCACTTATCTTTGTTGTATGCTGAGCTAATTAGCTCGAAAGGCTGGCTGACAGGCGGGTTCCCATTGCTTCCTTCTGTTAAACACACCCACCTACAGGCTAGCTGGGGAAGCTCGCTAATCATGGGAACAGATTCCCCCATCCAACCAGATTTTCCTGAATGCTGTGCAGCTTTCTGACTTGGCTATTTCTTTAGGTCTTCCATCTTCAACTATGCTGCCCCAAGAACATGGAATCCAGAAGGTTATTTTTCAAGGAAATACCCTAAATAGCAAAGCTTCCAGCTCAGGACTGCCAGCTACATCATCAGCATAATTACAATTCTCAGTCTAATCTAAATTTTCTTTTGGTAAAAAAAAAAGTGTTAATAAATATTATATAGAGAGTCAGGTATCAGATTATTCTTTGTATTTTAACTTGGGATCAACTCTTCTGGAAACCAAGGTTTATTTTTGTTCTCTGCCCAAATATACTCCCTTCTGATGGGAAGTGGCAAGTAAAACCTGGTGAACTCTCACAGCTGGGCTGGGAACATTTGTTCCCCTCTTTACCCTTCAAGGCAAATCATGCCTGTGGTTGATTTTAATTAATTCTGATAATTGTTCACTTCTTTTCATGGCGATTTTTTCTTTTAAAAATTTCAGGAGAGGGACCAGCAGATGGAGTAGCGGTTATGTCGCTGGACTCCCATGTAGTCGACCGTAGATGGAGTCTCAGACCTGGCAACTTACAACTTACACCAGGTGCATGTACATGTGTGTCCCCGATTCTGAGAGGAAAATGGAGGAGAAGGGATTGTAACATGGCCATGCCCCTGAAGGGTAATATCTTGCTTTCTGTCTCTCACTGGCAAGTGCATGCACCCTATAGCACAAATTTCTCTGAAAAATTAAAGCATATATGTATGTAGTTATTAAAAGATCCTAAAGAAACAGAAACTTTTTCTACCTGTGTTCTACATCAACCCACAACAATGTGCTAAATAATCTTTTCAGAGGAGACATAAATATAAGTCCTGTGATTCCATTGCAATAAGGAATTTATGCTAGATATATTAGGTTGTTGGGAAAGTCATGATGTATTTTTCTGTTTTTTTATGCAAAAAGTGTATTATGACTTTCCCGATGACCCAGTAAAAGAACTGACTTTAATGGCTGTAGCCTTTGTGGGTTATTGAAGGGTTATTGAAGATTCCCATTTTTTTAATTTAAAATATTTTTCCAGGGTAGGCAAAAAAATTGCTTTCCAATGTTCTAATTTTCAGATTTCATCATTTTGTTGTATTTTATAATAAACTGACTATATAAAACAGACTGTATAAACTGAAGCACTAGGTAAAAATAAAGTATCTTCCATGTGATTAGGTTCTTCAGCTAGAGGGTAGAAAACTGGGCTTAATAAAGGGAAACAGGAGAGATGGGTTCTAATAATAATTCTTGTTATGATTATCTCTAGCAAATGCCCCCTGGGAGAAAATGCCCCACAAAACACCAACATTGGTCTACCCAGAGCAAAAAGACACTGTTATAGAAGAAAAGGAACTTGAAAGAAGTAGTGCTTCCTGTTAAGATACTTATTTAGGGTCACAAAGTGCACTTTACTAAGGCATACCAGATAGGAAAATTGTCAATATTCTTGTAGGCCAAGCGTTTAAAACTGAAACTAGCTGGTTTGTGGACAGAAAACCTATTATATAATGCATTTATTGAGCACCAAGTATAAGAAATGCAAGTACTTTTTGTGTGTTACTGAGTTAGAAATCAAGATACTTAATGTCTCCATTAGAGGCCCAAGAAAAATAATGTGAACTTCTGAAAGGAGTAAGACTGATAATATAAAAACAGAAAAATTAGAAACAATTGATGCTTAGATTTTAATCAGTAAATGGACATTTCGGTGGACTTAAATTTACTTCCAGCGGTACTGCACTTAGAACATATTTTGGTTGTATAGTGTGGAGAAAGGAACATTGAATTGGAATCAGTAAGACCTAGGATGATTTGACCTTTCTGACCTGTGTAACTGTGAAGAGGCCACTTCTCTTCCTTGGGCTCACAGCCCTTGTCTATAAAATTAGGGAGCTAGGAGGGTCCTGTCTTTCACTTCTAGCATCTATTGTTCTGTGGCTGTATTAACAAATGAGCACAAATATTACCATGGCCTTCTGGAAAGTCACCTGTTTATTTCCTAAAGGCTGGATTGGTCTTCTGGGTTATGCATTTTCCCTCTCTGTCACTCTCATAGATGAGCACTTGCACCTTCTGGTGATTAAAAAAAATCTGTACTAGAAAAGCCATGTGGATAGGGGTTTCTGAGGCTCTTTAATCTCCATCAGACTTTTTACATTGTAGAGAGAAGAGTAAGAAACCACAGAGTTGGATTTTTTGTTTGTTTTTTTGCTAGACTGTCTTACAACAGCATTTTAAGAAATCTTTACGGGCATTTGGGCCAGCAGGTGGCATGGAGGTTAAGGTGATTGGATCCTGTAAGACTGAATGTGCTCTTTGAGTCCCAGACTTGGTGGCTTGAAAATCAGGCTGGGTGTGTGTGCACGCATGCCCAAAATCCCAAGAGGAGGCTGGGGGGGAAGGGGTTGTAGTGTGACCATCTATTTGAGGAGTGCTTTTTTGCTTTTCGTATCTCTCTTTCTCTAGCCAATACATGTGCTCCATAGCAAACACACAAACAAAAACAAAAAGCCAAGATAAAAAAACAAAAACAAAAACAAAAAAAACAAACAAAAACAAAATATAAACAAAGGTTTAAGACAATTTCTGCTGAAAGATTGACTTAATGAAGAAACTATCTAACTGGAATGTTATATAAACTACCTTTCTTAGAATTCCTTTTCCCTTTCTTATAAGTCATTAAAGATCATGATATTTATAAACTAATCTTTGCAAAGCTGTGTAGTGAATCACTATGAAGTTGCTGATAGTTTTGCCTTCTTTAGAAAAAAAATCTTATGAAGGTTAACAACTAATTTGTTAAGCAAATTATTACTTTTCTTTAGCAGTGAGCATCTTTGAATCCATCATACTGATTTTTGTCTCTCATGGCGATGGATATAAGGTCAACTGTGGGAATAAAAGTGATTTGTTTGAAGACCAGCCCAGCCTTTAGGAAATAAAAAGATGACTTTCCAGAAGGCCGTGGTAATATTTGTGCTCATTTGTAATACAGCCACAGAACAATAAATGCCAGAAGTGAAAGAGAGTACCCACTTCGCTTCCTAATTTTATAGACGAGGACTGTGAGTCCAGGGAAAAGAAGTGCCTTCCTCACAGTTACATGTGGTATTCATGCCACAATCCCTTCTCCATTTCTCCATCTTGTCAGGATTTTGGGCACACCTGTATACATGACCAGGATGTTTTTCAAGCACAGGTTGAAGATCTTAACCACTCTGTTGGCCACGTAGGATCAGGTCCCTAACCAGTAGGCCATGGGGCAGTCCTTTAGTATAGATTTTAAAGTTCACACGTTGGGTTTTATTGTAAACCTCAACCAACTGTAGGTATGTATCAAATGCAAAGTTAAATTACTGCAACAGGGATAGATGACTACAGTGAAAACCAAAACGATAACTTTACAAATCCTGTAAGAGCATTAATCAGACGTATTCAGTGATCAAAACTTACCACTGACCCAACTGTGGTAGCACAGTGGCTGACGCTGCGTGAAGTCCCAGGTTTGGTTTCCAGTCCAACCTGAACAGGCTGGGTGCAATTGTTTGCATCAGTGGAACTAGTTAGTAGAGAGGCTAGGGCAAGAGAATCACGACATGAAGAGGTCTTATCAAAAATGCCTCTCTCCCTCTCTTTCTTTCACTCCCTTCTATGCTCTGTCTCTCTCAAAAACAAACAAAACAAAGAACATATACCCAATGGTAAAAGCTCAGTGCACCAGCATGTTTACTAAGCTCTCTGGGAGTACAGGGCTCCTTGAGAAGATGTGAAATCAAGGTAGCATGTTCTGCTACATGGCATGCATGGGCAACAAAAAAGTCTATGTAAATAATTCTGCTGGTAAGGAAAATTCATTCCAGTATCATTTTTATTTTTAGACAGAAGGTGGGGGCCATCAACTAAAGTAACATCCAGACTATTAGAAAATGTAATAGATGCACCAAAGAATCATCTTTAATTATAAACAGGACATGCCTCCACCATCTTTCCCCTTTCTTATGCCCTAATGTTCTCTACTTTGGAGGCCAGGGTAGGTGAGGCAAGAGACAAACAAACGAACAAAAACAAAAAACTAAGGGAAAAACCCCACATAAGCAAAGGTTTAAGACAATTTCTGATGAAAGATGAGCCTGAGGTAAGGTTGGGCTGACAGCAGGTCCCAAAGGATTCCAGTTCAGGGCATCCAGGCTCCAAAGATAGGCCTGCAAATAATTGAGCCAGTGACAACTTCTAGGGAGTCAGAATACTTAGGGAGGGAAAGGAACCTGAATGGAAGATTATTTCCCCTGAAATAATATCTTTATTGAGTTGCTAATGCCTTTATTGTTCAAAATTAACAATTTAAAACAAAATAGATAAAATGAAAAAGAACCAAGGCCATGCATTTATCTATATTAATATAGAGAAAGTGACTCATGGCAGCTACTTCCAGATATCAACAGAAGATAGTGGAGGGAACTAGAAGGGCTTAAATACAAAATTGGCAAGCTATGTTTAAGAGTGTTTCTAGAGGCTGGCAGGTGGCCTGGTTAAGGGTGCTGGATTCCCACATGGTCGACTGTGGTTCAAGTCCTGAACCTGGTGGCTTGGTTTATCACTTTCCCCCTCTCTATCGCTCTGTTCCTCTCTGACCAAATTTAAATGAATAAATACATAAATAAAGTTAAATAAAACAATTCTCTTTTAATAAAAGTGTTTCACAGGACCAGCAGTTGGCGTAATGGCTATGTCGCTGGACTCCCATGTAGTCAGCTGTGGTTCGAGTCCCGGATCTAGTGGCTTAAACTCACTCTGGGTATGTGTGTGTGCGTGCCCAAGATCCCGAGAGGAGAATGGAGAAGGGGTTGCGGCATGGCCATCCCCCCAGGGGGTGATTTCTCACTTTCTGTG